TTTTAAACACGTATAATAAACAAATAACAGTGCATCTTTCTTATAAATAATTAAATAGTGAAAAAAAAATGAATTGATTGTGTTTCAAATAATGTAGTAATAATACGTACTTCTCATAATTAATTTAATGTACCACTAGTCCACTACCTCTATCATATATCTATCTTGTCTATTATATTTTGGGAAAAAAAGTAATTAACTTGAATCTCTTCAATCGATCGAGTCTCCATTCAAAGTAATTCTTGTTTAACAAGGGTAGTTTTAGAATAAAAACAATTGAGATCTTTTGAGTCGAGGGGCTAATTGTCCTCAATCGAGAATGAAAATAATAATAATTTGACTTATGAATGAGCACATAATCTTTTATACAAGTATTAAATTTTTGCGCTCACAAAATGGTGCATTTTTCTTTGTATGGCAAAAGTATATTGTAGTGGCACCTTTTGTGGTACACAGCATATACTTATATGTAGTAGGAGCAGAAGAGAGAGATCTAGCGTACCTTGCTATACTCCCATTCATGTTATGGAGGATGCTTCACAACCAAATTTGGATCACTATTTCGCGCCATCGAACAGCCAAAGGCAACAACCTTATTCTTGATAAAAGCCTCGAGTTCGAACAAGTTGATAGGGAAAGAAATTGGTACGTACATATATACGTATATTATGTCTACATAAATTTCTATTCAAAAAAAATAAAAAATGTCTACATAAATTTATTAATTACGTACTATACGTACAAGTTTACAATTCGGAAAATAAAGTGTCAAAATTCGTTGCTAGTAGTTGTTATAGGAGTTAAATTAATTTAATTTAATCAACTACGGGTGCTTGTATGAGTAATTTTTTGTTTGTCTCATTTGTCTTTTTACATACAATTTAATAGAAAATATAGTGTACATGTGTCAGTATCAACAACTTAAATGTATGTGCTCTTAAGTGTAATTATTAATACGGCAAAATTATACAAGTATGTTTCTTCTTAAGAGGAGATGAAATGGTCCCCAAACTGTGATGATGATGGCCTAATGGGCAAAAGGGTGTGTATACCCTCGTGATGATGAACATGATTTTGCCACTCTTTGACAGCCTTGAAGATAATCGATCTTCAATTCTTGAATATGATGTGCTAAGATTTTTGGTACCACCGATAATATTTTGACAAATTAAATGAACCGATTTAGTTAGCATATACACAAAATTGTAATGTCTAAACGACGTGTTTTGAAGATACCATTATTTTAAAAGCTTTACTTATACTCCGTAGAAAATAAATTAAATAAATCAATGATTAAAAATTCAAAATTGTACCTTAAATAGCTATTAATAAAGCAAATATAAATACAGAGATTTCTTAAAGAGCCTCATTCGTTAGACTAAACAAAAAGTGGGAAAAAAAAAGGACCTATTTTCTTAAAGTATCCATTAAAGAGAGTACATCTAAGGGTAAAGATGAGCAATTCCATAAAATATTCCACAACAGCAGAAAAAATCAAATTATTAGTTGGTGACTCATCATAGACCTGGGAACAAATCTCGTCCTACATTTTTATGTTAAGACTGATAAAAATTATTATTATTGCATATAATTTTCAGAATTTTAATTTGTAGATTTCTTGATACAATCATAACATCAATATAATTACCATACTAAAAATAAATTGAATAATTGTTTTATGTTGAATAATATAGGGATGATCAGATACTGTTGAATGGGATCTTGTTTTATGTTGGCTATTTGGCGCTAAAAACTGCAAAAAACTTACCCCTTTGGAGAACTGATGGTCTAATTCATATGTTCCTAATTCATGCTGGTCCTGTTGAGTTTCTCTATTACTGGTTCCATCGCGCTCTCCACCATCACTACCTCTACTCGCGCTACCACTCCCATCACCATACTTCCATTGTCACCGAGCCCATTACTTGTAAGTCTTTTCATAACTTCATAACATTATTATTTACTGTGAGTAGAAAATATCTAATCGTTGCAAATATTAATGTTGTACATTATTACTTGTGACGAACTCATTCTATTTTTCATTGTTGATTGTTGTATGCAGCGGTGATTCATCCATTTGCTGAGCATATAGTATACTTCATTCTCTTTGCCATTCCAATTCTATCGACAATATTAACTCGAGCATCCTCTATAGTTTCCATAACCATCTATGCTACTTACATTGACTTAATGAACAATATGGGTCATTGCAACTTCGAGGTTGTTCCTAAATGGCTGTTTACCATATTTCCTCCCCTCAAGTACCTCATGTACACTCCCTCGTAAGTATCTCTTATATCTTTCGTCGTAAAATCAGTAGAAACTTCCTAGATGGATGCTTATTATATGTCTGTTTTTGATGTGGTAACAGGTTTCACTCTCTGCATCATACTCAGTTTAGGACAAACTACTCACTTTTCATGCCATTTTATGACTATATCTATGGAACTATGGACAAGTCTACGGATACTTTATACGAAACTTCTCTTAAGAAGCCGGATGATGTTCCTGATGTAGTTCATCTTACTCATCTGACAACACCACAGTCTGTTTACCAAATTAGATTAGGATTTGCTGGTCTTGCCTCGAATCCTCTGACCTCGACTTGGTATCTCTGGCTCATGTGGCCTCTTACACTATGGTCTATGATCTTGACATGGATATATGGCCAAACATTCATCGTCGAAAGAAATACCTTTAAGAAGGTTAAGGCACAGTCATGGGCTGTACCGCGCTATAGGATACATGTAAGTTTATCACCATTTTACAGGATACATGTCAGTTTTGAAGTTTATAACTCCCTACAAAATTATGTTTATTTTTGTATGTTGAAAACAAAAAGAAATTGATTTTGCCTATCTTTGTTGGTTTGCAGTATCTTTTACAATGGCAACGAGCAGCTATTAACAACTTGATCGAAGAAGCCATACTAGAAGCAGAGGAGAAGGGGATCAAAGTAGTGAGCCTCGGACTTTTAAATCAGGCAAGCGAACAAGATTCAATCGTTCATTTATCTTCTAGTCCTGTAAGTGTTACATAACTAGATAAGCTAGCTAACCTCAATCCGTGTGATTCGTGTTCCTTCAGGGGGACAATTTTAACAAAAATGGTGAAATTTACTTGGAAAGGCATCCTATGCTCAAAGTGAAAGTGGTTGATGGTAGCAGCTTAGCTGTCGCGATAGTCCTTAACAACATTCCAACAGGAACTACTCATGTTCTGTTTAGGGGTAGGCTCACTAAGGTTGCTTACTCCATTGTCTCCGGGCTGTGCCACAAGGGCATCCAGGTAACAATCTCATAACATTGGCACCCTAATGAACCTAGCAAGTAGCAATTTCGGACCAATACATAAATGATTTCACCTTGATAAGGTTACTTGGTGACATTAACCTAATGCCTTTAATGTATGCTTTAGGTTGTTACATTAAGACAGGCTGAATATGAGAAGCTAAAAAAGACAATGACAAAAGAAGATGGCGCGAATCTGTCTCTTTCAGCAAAAGGCTGCAATGAGAAGGTAATAGAAGAGGGGGAAAAAAAAACCACCATCAAATAAATTTTAACTTCATGATTTTAAGGACTAATAGTACAAAATATTTATAATGGTCTTGGAGATGAAGTATTCTTATTTGATGCAGGTATGGTTAGTAGGAGACGATTTGTCAGAAATCGAGCAGTCTATAGCATCGGAGGGAACTATAATGATTCCCTACTCTCAATTCCCTCCCAAGAAAACAAGGAAAGACTGCTTCTACTTAAACACTCCATCGATGGTGGCACCTACGTCTTTTGGAAATTTGCATTGTTGCGAGGTTTGTTCTGTTTTCCAATTTATTGTGACATATCCTAAGTTAAGTCCTTATGACTAAAAATTGATCCTGTTTTTGCTTGTGTGAGCAGAACTGGCTGCCAAGAAGGGTGATTAGCGCGTGGCGTGTGGCCGGAATTGTACATGCCTTAGAAGGATGGAATGTAAACGAATGTGGTGATGAGCTCTTCGACGTAGACAAAATTTGGAAAGCTTCCCTAGAACATGGATTTCGCCCTTCCCCTGAACCCTGCTTGGTTAAGTAGTGAAAGTATTCTATAATGTTATAAGAATATGATTATTAAATGAATAAGCTAGCTGATGAAGTTCTATTTTACTCGTATATTTGTCCTTCAACTTGCCAATATGTGCTACTTCAATGTTGTTGTGACTTGAAATTCTGATCCAGTTTTATTGGATTTGGTTTATATATACAAATACATTTTTTTTTAATGTTGATTGTACAATTTGGTCATTGATGGTTGTGAATCAGCTTAACTTATGAATATATTAGTTCTATTTGCTAGTAAATATAGATTTATATCTAATAAATACAAATTGAATCAAATAAAAATATTATTTCAACAAAACTATGATTGTTATTGCATATACTTATGGCAAGAAAAGAGACGGTTCCCGCTTGTTAGGGAGATTATTTCTATTTCTAGCTGTTTTGAAAATGTTACGCTTTGTCATATGTATAAATAGTGTAACTCACACTATGACTCACCTTATCCTTGTTGAGTTCTCGACAAGAGTTTGGATTGGGGTTGTCCAAGTGTGGTGGAAGAATTGGTTGCTTCCGAACTTTGTGTTGGCATATCGGCTAGTAAAACTGTTAATAATAGAGAATATATTATCTAATTTGCAATTGTAGACAAACTATTTTCTTGTTTTATATATTATTTTCCCTTATTTCCCCTAATTTGATATTGTCCTTTAAAAAAAGACAAAAAAATAATATACTTGTTACGATTTGCCCCTACAATGTGATTTACAATATTTTAAAAACTCCCTTATTTGGCTACCAATAATATGTTGTATTGAGCTCATGTCGATAAAAAAACGAATAGTATGCACACACGACACACCTGGTCATGTGTCAACCATGCCGTGTCATGCCAAGGGTTGAGTTATGGACGAGGCCTAGCCAACCCCCAACCCATTATATCAAAACGAGACATTAAATGTGTCAAAAACTGATTCAAAATAAACTTTATTTAGATTTCAACTCATATGAACAAAATAATTTAAAATAACTCAACTTTAATATAGATTTAACTCGATTAGACTTGACCTCACCAAACCCGACCCAATATCCAAATTGACACCTCTAAACAACCCTAAAAAAGCGAGTAACAACAATCTAGTCTAGATCTAAAAAACCACAAAGTCTAACACAGTCCAAGCCCAAAACCCTTTATATTGATCATCTTCTTCCCTCTTTCACCCCTCAACTTCTTCATACTTTCGCTCCTTCTACTACTGGAAAATTTCGCAATTCATCATCTTCAACTTGAATCTGCAATTGATTTTCCAGTCAATCGATCAATCGAATAAGAAATCCAGGAAGCATTAATCTCAGCTGTAACAATGGATGTAGAATTGATAGATAAAAGAGTGTTGGAGTATTTGCAGAAGAAAGGTTTCAAGCAAACTGAAATCGCTTTTCAAGAAGAACAACAACAACAACAATCGAAGAATTCTTCGTCGAATTCTCATACTGACCCAGATGTCGCTAAGCTCATCCTCACCTTTACTTCCGAGTACTTTCTCTCTCCTCTAAATTACAGATTTTATGTTATTAATTTTTCAAATTTCTGTTTATTTGAGTTTAATTTTGTTTGTTTTGGTGATATTGGGGTTTGGGAATAAGGGTTTTAATTGATGTGCAGTTTTCTCTTGATTTTAGGTTTAGGGCATATTTAGAATTTTTGGAATTTGAATTCTTGTGAATTTTTGTTACATTTTTGTTACATTGTTAGTGTGTAAGTTAAAAATTTTCTTCTATGGGTTGAAGATAATGGTAAAGGTAAATGTTTGTTTGAGCGAGTTGGCTATGATGATAAATGTACATACTACATTACTGCCTTCATTGGGGATGAATAATCTTTGTTGATGACCACTGGAGAATGTAGAGATAACGTATTTTGGTTCATGTAGCCGACCCCATCCTTTTCGGATTAAGGATTTGATAATGTTGTTGAAATGATGGTGTTAAGGGCAGGGAATCATATAGCCTTTTTTTTCTTGCGATGAAAGAGGGGTTTTTTGATTGATCCTTGGGATATTTTTTCACTACTTTTAGGATAGATTGTCATTGGCTCCATTGAAATTTAATTTTGAGAATTGCTTCCAGCGAAGGATTGTAGAACTAGACATACAAGACATATTTAAATTACGGGTTATGCAAGTGAGAAAACGAAGGTAAGTAATTGTGATGATTAATGGGATGAAGTGTTGGTAATAGCAATAAGGTAGTGTTAGTATAAAAGGTGGGAAGGATGATAGTCCCACGGTATTTGACCCAACCATGTTGCAAACAATAAGGGACACAAGGATGAATTACCCTCATAATAGGAGTAGTAATTTACTCGTTATCATCCATATGAGGGTAACATTTTTCCTTTCTCTTTTTTTCTATAGCACCTCTATAGCTCTATTACATCATCACTCTTGTAACCACCTCTTCTCACCTTCTCTTATTCTTGCTGGACTTTTATTACCCCGTAATGCATTACCTTCAATCCAAGTATGTAGTCAAGGTTTTAAGACATAATTTGAAAAGCCGAAAACTATCTATGAGTTTGAAAAGGGTAATTGATGCTCTAGCAAAGATGATAACAAGCTTAAGCGTTGAGTTGAGTGGCATGTTGCCAATAGTTAATGCTCTAGCAGAATTAGTAGTGAAAAGTTGCTTCTCAATTATATTAAGGCCCCCCACCCTGGCCTTGCCATTTTTAGTTTTGCAGAGTCAAATTAGGCATTAACAATAAAGAACGAGCAATGTGACAGGCAATATTCCCATTCACTGCCCTGATGTTGCTAGGATACAAAACATCTTTCCAAGTCTAAGGATGAGATGAACTATTGGAGAATCACAGTGGCAAAACAAAGTGATGCTAAAATTAGTATATTTTGGATTATCTGGGAGGTTTTAAATTGTGTATGCAACTTTTCTTCCACCATTGGACACATGACATGTCAAAGATATAAAATGAAACTAGCATAAATTATCTATTTGATATGTCACGATAAATAATTCACATATCTAAGTTTGAATCCTTGGGGCGAAATGAAACTTGTTTGCAGATGGAATTTACTCACACCCAATTCCCCATGCCTCTCTGTTAGAGAAGGGTAGGATACTGAAATTTTGTCTTGTGGTGGATGGCTTTATATTGACAACTGTTTTAACATTTAAAAACCTTTTTTTCAGCCAAGTGTCCCTTTCTTCTTATCATTTTCTTACCTATGAATGTTCTTTAGAAAATTTTTAGCCTCATTTTGCTTGTATCAGCTGTGTGTTACTCCATACATAGATTAGGCCAAGCTTGGAATCCATGTGAAATTGAGGTGATGATACATGTTATATGATGAACATAAAATTGCTGCTGCCTTTCTTCCAATATATATATATATATATATATATATATATTCAAATGATTTTTTTTATTCAGTAAAAAAGAAAGTGACTTTACATGTAACATGTATGCTTGGTTTTTGTGGTTGTCAGGTCAGAGAGCCTTCCTGCACAATATCATGATGGGTACAGTAAGCTTAGATCATGGGCTCATAATTCCTTAGATTTATACAAGGTGATTCTTGCCTGGTTTTACTTTGCTTGAAATTTTTTGCAGTTCATCTGGATTGATAAAATTACCTGTGCATTATATTTATGACATTTGCTTTAGATATTTTCTGCTGTTGTACTTTTAGAGGTGGGAAATGTTGTAGCCCATCTAATAGCAAGATGGGGTTCCACAATGAAGTCTTAATGTAGGTAGGATCCTTCCAAGATTAGGTCTTTTCCTTCTTTTTTTTGGGTGTGTGTGTGGGTGTGTGTGTTTGGGGGGGGGGGGGGGGTTAAGAGGATTGGAAATTTCGCGAGTTGGGTGGTTTCCTGCTTGTATGTCAATAACTTCCTATTTGAGGTGGATACATGCAGATATTGCTACCCTTCAACTTGAACTTTAACCAAGTAATTTCCCTTGTACTTGCTTCAAGTAGCAGACTAGCAGTTTGGAGTTCTTAAAGTTGAACTCTCTGAGGTGTCTTTTTTCATTCTATTCCTCTCTCCCTACCACCACCCCACCCCCCCCCCCCCCAAGTAAAAAAAAATAAAAACTTCTTGAAAAGATGTTATGTAAAGAGAAGGCTTACTTTTGTCCTTTGTTCTTTTTCTGGACAGCATGAATTGCTTCGAGTACTTTATCCAGTGTTTATACATTGTTTCATGGATCTTGTTGCAAGGGGCCATCTACAAGAAGGTGAGATGTCAAATTGTCAACTAATCTTCAAAATTTCTTGAGTTGCTCAGTGCTTCTTGTTTGAAGAATTCCTAAATGTTGCCTAATTTTTGGGTGATTTTTTCTATTTATGTTTTTGTTATACAGCCCGTAATTTCTTCATTACCTTCCGCGAAGATCATGAAACTATGCATCAAAGAGATCTGCAGAAGCTCGAAGGTGTTCTGTCACCCTCTCATTTGGAGGTTAACTGCTGTTTAACTTTAATTCTTTCAAACTAAACATTCAGTTTTTGAACTTTTCTATGTTTATGAAATTTTTCTCTTTTGTTTGCCTTTGATTTTCTGTTCAGGAGATGGAGTTTGCCCACACTTTAAGGCAAAGCAAAGTAAACATCAAGATCTGTCAGGTTCTTTTTTTACTTCTTCAAAGGAAAAATTACTTGTGTAGGTTTTTCGCTGTGTTACCAGTAAGCAGCTCATAGATGTTTCTTGCATAGGAGGATCACCATGCTACCCCTCCCTCCTTGCATGATTTATGAAGGCATTAATTTATAGCTACGTAGTGCAATAATTTTGAAGTTAATCACATAGTAGAAAGAAATACATTGTTTGCTTCTGCCCTTATTTTTTAAGTTCTCCAGTAGACTGTTTGCATCTACTGCATTGGTTTTCAGTAAAATAAGTTTTTTTATTTTTTATTTTTTTTATTAACTTAAATTAATTTAAACTGATATTAAATTATTTTTGTTGGAACATAAATTTATATTTATTGAAATTAAATCGTTTTTGTTGAACTTAATTACTTTTACTACGAGTAATTATTTTCACTGATTTGCTATTGTATTTGTACTCTGACCTTACTAATTTTTATGTAGTACTAATTAAAAGTTATTTTTACAGAACTTAACCTCTTTTTTCTTTTTCTTTTTTTTTTTTTCTGGAACTCAACTTATATCTATTGAAAATGAAATTATTTTTGCTAAACTTGTCTTTGCTGAACTTAAATTATTTTTACTTAATACTATTATATTAGGTGACGAGAACTGAGCCTTTGAGAAGGGAACATGCCCTTGAGCCAGCTAAAATCATGTCCTGCCAGCTGCCACCCAAGTTTTAAATTATGAATAGCTTTTTATCCTTTATATTTTATTTTTCCCATTTACACTTAATTAACATTATGATCAACCATTCCTCCTACATGGCCAATTAAATTGGTTAAATTGGTTGAATATTAGTTTCAAAATTTTCCTGCAGTACTCGTACGAGCTTCTCCTCCAGTATCTGCATAACACTCGGTCTATAACAATGCTTGGAGTTATAAATGAGCATATCAACTTCCAAGGTGCAACTTTATTCTGTTTTTACTTCCTTTTTTTTATTTTTATTTTTGTATGTATATATATTTCCCTTTCTACACATTTGATGACATACCTGGGGCATTTGCGTGTTGATTCACAGTTTGCCCTGGTCAGCCCGGTTCAATATCAGACGATGCTGACGCGATGACTCTGGTTGATGGTGGCCAAGATGCAGCAAATTTAATAAATCAAAAAGAAATCCAGTGGGGGGTAAGATATTAAGTTCATTGTCACACACAGTTCATAATTTTATGATGCTAAAGTTATGAACACCAGTCTATTCTCTATTAGTTTCCTCAAGTGGAAAGCTACTAATGGTAGTTATTACACTCTAACTGCTTTTTATATACTTTTAATCTGAGTAAAGTTGAAATACCAATTAAGACATTCGTGTTGGAACAAGCCAAACTGGGAAGGACTTTATGCAAATGCTAGTCTCCCCCCCCCCCCCTCCCCTTCCTCTTTCTCTCCATTATTGGGCAAATTTTAGTTTAGTGTAATTGTCCTTGGAAAATGTCATGATGCTTTTCTATTATATACATTTTTGTGATGTGACCAAAATTAATCAGAAAATCAAATTTATTTATTTATTTTTTAAAATAGAGATTTAGAGTGCATAGTTAGTATAGTGGATTGTGTTTTTATTTAGCAGTTGTACCTATTTACTCCATTTAGTAATGGTCCAAGAATCCCCTAGATTTTTGCTTGAACCTAAGATTTGTCGTTTTTTTTTTTAGAGTTGTAACATTTTGGGACCTCCAATGTTGACATTTGATAGGTACCGAAATCTTTAGTCTTGTGAGATGTTTGATCTGCACGAAACATCCTTGTATTTGTATATAGTTTGGCTGTTTGCGATGCCCTATCGACTTATGGAAACTCGAACACTGTCCTAGTGTCCTATATTCAGCATAATTATGGATTGCTTTTTCTTTTGCTTAGATGCTGGAAGATTCGATTGAAGACCGCTTGGAGAAGGGTGGAGGTTTGCTCTTAGACTCTGAAAAGGTAGATACGGAAAACAAGGAAGGGGAGAATGAAGAAAATAAGGTAGTGGTGCTGCTTCCCCTGCATCCACTTCTTGCCATCTATGTATGCTTATATCTGGTACTGATAGATCTCTATGGTTTATGTATAGAAAAAATCTGCTGACGGAGGAAAGCAAGGTGCATCAGTAAAAAAGTCCAAAAAAGATAAAGTTGGAGGCACTGGAAAAACTGCTCGTCCAGAAGCCAACACACCTATGGCACCAAGAGTCAAACCAGAGCTTCCTTTGCCTGCAATGTATGCCTTATACATTCTCATTCATTAATAACTTTCTAGCTTTGGTCCATCATTGTAAACTACAGAGTTAAATGTGTGATCTTCTGAAGAGATAAGAAGATGATGAGAGATAAAAGTTAAAACCCCTGATTCTTGTTATTAACAAAAGTTTCATACGTTGCTTTAGACCAATTGAAGTTGAACATTCTATCCTGGAAGACCTTCGTAATCGTGTGCAGTTGAGTAGTGTGGCCCTGCCATCTGTAAGCTTCTACACATTTATAAATACACACAATAGGTAACTTGTTCGACCTTATGCCCTTGCTAAATTCATTTTTTCTGTCTCTGATTTCCTGCATGCAACTAGCTTCTGACTAGCTTTGCATTATTTCATTTGTTTTTTTAGTTTAAACTGTGCATCAATTTCACATGATGGATCCTTGGTTGCTGGTGGATTTTCCGACTCTTCTTTAAAGGTCTAATGATTTATCCCTAGATATTCTCTTGATATTGTATAAAGCTGATCAGTTATGCTAATATGAAGAGTTTACTTATATAGGTCTGGGACATGTCACAGCTTGGGCAACAAACGAGCACTTGTGAGTAAATTGCAGAATACCTCCTTTGTTCCTGCTTTCTTTGTTCTTAGATAATATCGTCATTCTTGATTATAAATTTGGTTTCATTCCGTTTTCTGGTTATAGCTGCTCTACAGGGTGAAAAAGATGCAGCTGGAAATGAACAAATGCTTGGTACAAATGGTGTTAAAAGACCCTATACTTTGTTTCAGGGTCATTCTGGGCCTGTTTATTCTGCTTCGTTTAGCCCCCTTGGGGATTTTATACTCTCTTCTTCAGCAGATTCAACTGGTGTGTTCCTAATAATATCTTACATTTGTCTTTGTGACATTCTTTTTTTTCATTTTTTTTTTTTTACTGTTACGGATTTAATGTTGCTCTTGCCCACATCTCTCTTATACTTAAATTAATGAACTGCAGTGCGGCTTTGGAGCACAAAACTAAATGCCAATCTTGTTTGCTACAAGGGTCATAATTATCCTGTATGGGATGTGCAGGTAGAACTATATACTGTTGACTATTGTATTTATAATTTCATGAGCTTTAGCTTCTGTACTTTACTCTTTTTTTTTTCTTTTTTTTTTCCCTCATTGTATATCTTTGCTCTTGCTCCATATCACTGGTCATCTTTCAGGCTTCATTTATAAGCTCTGATTACCCCTTGACCAAAGTTTTTTGTTCATGCAGTTCAGCCCCTATGGTCACTATTTTGCTAGCTGTTCTCATGATAGAACAGCAAGGATCTGGACCATGGACAGAATACAACCTCTAAGAATCATGGCTGGACATTTATCAGATGTTGATGTAAGTTTTTGTCTCCCCTTCTCTTCGGGTGGCATTGTCCCTTTTCACACCCTCCTCTTTAGTTGATCTTCGGCGTATTATATGTGTCACATGTTCAAGTCTTGTAGTATTCCCATATTTCAATATGCTTATATCCCATGATCAACCGTTCTTGTCTCGTGAAATTGATGTTGCATTTTACTTTGCTGCATTTTACTTTGCCTGCAGTGTGTCCGGTGGCATGTAAACTGTAATTACATAGCTACTGGATCTAGTGATAAAACAGTTCGATTATGGGACATTCAGAGTGGGGAGTGTGTCAGGATATTTATTGGTCACAGGAGTATGATATTGTCCTTGGCAATGTCACCTGATGGTCGGTATATGGCATCTGGCGATGAAGACGGTGCAATCATGATGTGGGATCTTGCTAGTGGACGTTGCATTACCCCTTTGGTGGGTCACACATCATGTGTATGGTCACTTGCTTTCAGGCAAGTACACTTCTCTCTCTTGAGCCGTGCTCATTTACATGACTTTTTTTCAATTGTATAAACCTTTATCTATTTTTGGCTCAAGTTCTCCTCATGTATGATGCATCAGTGGTGAAGGCTCACTTCTTGCCTCCGGATCAGCTGACTGCACTGTTAAACTGTGGGATATCAATGCAAGCACAAAGACATTGAGATCTGAGGAAAAGTAAGCTCATATGGAACTAGCAAAGATATAATTTTCTAAATTTTGGAATTAAAAAAAAAAAAAAAGGGAATCTACCATTTCTTACATCATCTATCTTCACACGCAGAACTGGGAGTTCAAACAGACTTCGGTCGTTGAGGACTCTTCCTACCAAATCAACACCAGTTTACTCTCTGATGGTAATGTTGCAAGTTTTATCATCTATCTTAAGAAAATTTAGAAACGTGATTTAATCAACCCTGATATCTCTGATTATGCGCTTTTCTTTGCTGCAGTTTTCAAGAAGGAATCTGCTATTTGGTGCTGGGGTTCTTTCTAAACGTTCATGATTAAATTAGCAGATAATTGTAAGCTGTAGATGTAAGCAGATAAGGTGAGACGCCCTTTTGATCATTCAATTTGTTATACTAGTAGTTTATATAGACACATAGATTAGACGTAGCTGTTAGGAACTGCTTTAGTTGGGTATTCAAGGTGGATTAGAAGTGGTAGTTTTTTTTTTTTACTGTAATGCTTCTATTCAGTAGCTGCTGATTCTTTTATCATGAAAAGACATGATTTTGTCATATATTGTTATTGTAAAAAATGTACTTTTACCTAACTGTATCAGGTTTTGTTATTATAGCCATGAGTAAACGTTATACTGCGTATATACAAGTATTTCCCAAAGTAATGTTAAGTTGAGGACTTGAGGATATATGACAAAATCATGGGTTGTACACTGTTATTATATGTTAAGTAGTGTTACTATTCTAAAACTTGTAATTTCTTATTGACTACATTTAACATTTTTCTTCTATATTTGATAAGGTAGATTAAAATTTTTGATGAGGTTGTATTGAGGAAGGACGGTGGCAAAATTTTGCTGGAAAGATAGAACAGGGAAGGGGTTGGGAAGGGTTTTTTTTTTTTTTTTTTTTTTTTTTTTTTTTTTTTTGAACTATGGAGTGTAAAATTCTTTGTAATAGTGAGATATTGTTGGGGCAATTATGTCAATGGTGCCTGCATACGTTTTAGCTTACATAGCTCAATAGTTGGCAACTTTGCTAGCCACAAGTTTGGAATTTTTTTTTTTTTTTCTTACCAATAATATGGGTTAAATTTAGGCCATGTTTGATTCACCTTAATTTTGCTGAATTGAAATTAATTTTACTGAACTTAACTTAATTTTACTGAATTGAAATTATTTTTACTGATTTACTATTATAATTCTTCTTTAAGAAAATTGAATTTTACTGAACTGAACTTATTTTTACTGAACTGAAATTATTTTTACTAAACTGAAATTAATTTTACTGAATTGAATTTATTTTTACTGAACTGAAATTATTTTTACTTAATATTATTTTTTTAAGGTGAAGAGAACAGGGTCTTAGTCAGTTATCCTAATTTTTTATACTAATAAGCAGTTGCTTAAAACACACACTCATGAATTGACCAAAAATTTTATTAGTTAGCACACGATTAATAGTAGATATTTTAGTGACTTGTAGTCCACAATCTTAAAGATGGCACTGCTTTGGGCTGGTATGAGATAAGACATAGCCTAGCTTGTTAAAAGCACAGCACGGGGCATTAGTCAAGCTTAGCCACTATTGATCAGCCATGAGTATTTAGCCTTGCAATGTGGGTGGGTTTTTGGGGTTAGCTTACTTGCAGGACCGCGACCCTTTGTCCTTACCATTGTAGCACATTTGCCGCCCTGATCTTTTGGAGAAGCACGGTAAGGCAAGGCATGCTACTGCTAATTAAGTGAAAATTGGCCTAGGCATGTAAGCACGGCTATGTACATTGGGCACATGGGTTCAACTATGCTTGAGCCAGGCCTAAAGCTAGGTATGCTGTTGAGCTTCTCACGAGTCGCGACACAATTTAAAGTCATCTTTAAATCAGTAGTTTGGCATCTTGATTAGCCATGCCAAACTTCTGCCTTGCTGTATGTGCTTAGCTGCTCACTTTTATTTAAGCATTGTTTTTAGATGACAAATAATACTTCGTACTATTGTTAAGATGGGTTCAACTATACTTAATGCTCTTGCTACAGGACGTAAATCAACCACGTACATATTCGAATTCTAATTAATGATTGATTGTTGCATTATTGGCATTTGGCATCCTGTTAATATAACCGTTAAGATTCATCAACTTAGTCAAATCATATAAATAATGAAAAATCATATGATTAAGGTCCACTAATCATGTGGCCGATGTATGCCTAGTACTGTGTCACATACTCCCTCATTTTATTACTCATTTCTCTTTACACTTCCATAAATTACTTTTGGCCATTAATCATTTTTCAAGTAAAAAATTGTCCAAGTTGACATTTAAAACGTATCACAATTATAGCTAGATTTGATAGGTAAATAATATTCCCATCGTATACTTAACAAAATATTATCTACGTAGAAGAGTTTTTTTTTTTTTTTTTTTTTTTTTTTTGGGGTAATTAAGGAAAAAGCCTTATCAAGATATATAACCTCTTATTGGTCAATCTGGCCTAGGTTAACATGCAAGGAAATCTCAACCCCGAAGTACTCTAATAAAGTTCAATCCTGCAACCTTACTTCAAAGAGATGTGAATAAATAGTGTTAAAGTAAGTCCTGAATGAAAAAGTTACAGAAGGAGTGATACAACCGAGTCATTTTCTACAGAAGGAGTATTACGTATTCACTATTTTATAAGGTTTTCCCGTTTTTGGTGTTTGCATAAATAAATTGGTGTAGGGAATAATGCAATCCCTCATCAACTCTGCAAGTCCATTGTGGTGTTATTACGACTGCTTTTCCGGAATAAGATAAAACGGCTAATTTATTACACCATCTTTAAACAATTAACACTATTCTCTCCTCATCACATAGGATCAAATGACACTTGACAGTCCCATATCTTCCTATTACGCCACTTGTCTTTTAATAAACTATTAATTAATCATTGTAAAATTAGTAAATTAATATATGAAGCTGAATGTATGTATTCACCAAAAGTTTAATATGATTGCAAAAGTTTAATTAGGTGATGATGATAAGATTATAGTAGTACTACTGGTACTACTTAATGTAGCATTTCGGCGGTCTCCGGATGAGATTAAAAATACCATTAATGTATTATACGTCTATACAATACACATCTATTAAAATAGAATTAAAAACAATGGAGCAAATTAATTTTTAATTTTTATACAATCGATTAAAACAAATGAGGATGAAGACAAAGTCACAAAAGGCCAACATTTAATTAATAAACCAATATAATATTGACAATTGGCAATAATATTAATAGATTTTATAATTATATAGTTCCAAAATTTCAAACCGTGTACAATATTTTGTCACACCCACAAATCAAAACAAAATAAAATAAAAGTTAAACTCATTAAAAAAACATGTAACACATACGAGATTGTAATTAGATTCAATCAATTGAACACATTATTGGCTACCACATGATTAATGAAAGAATAATTGTATAATTGTCCACTTTCTGCTGATCATTAAAGGGGCTTTCAATTTAAATTAACAAAAAGAAAAACTTGGAATTTTTTTTTTAAAAAAATAGAGAGAGAAAAATAAAATAAAAGAAGTGGTACTGAACTTAGAAAAGCATTGAAAGAAGAAAGGTGGGATTAATGAGCTCAACCCACCTACCTGACAACAGCATTTACATACTGTGCTGCCTTGCATTTCACAATGTGAAAAGAGAAAACCAGTGTTTTGATGAATTTATGATGACAACTTAGGAACTTTTTTTTTAGATACTCTCATCTCCTGAAATCTGCTCTGCTTGTTTAGCTAAAAGCTTGAAAAAATAGGGTCTTATTAGTTATCTACAGCTATCATTACAAATTATTAAAAATGGTTTTGTGGATGTCAATATTTTAGTTGGTCTGTTGGTTAAAAGCTTTTAGTGGTGGACTAGTGACATTAAAGATCCGAATTTCTTAGAATTTGATACTTCTAAAAAAAAAACCGCAGCCTCCTTTTCTCTCTTCTCTCTCCTAAACCTAGTCTCCACTGTTAATTTTAAGGGGCTTCCATCGGATTTCACCGGTGGAAAGGCCCAATCTTTATTTTTTTTAAGCTTTTTAATTTGTTTTAGGTTACAATAATGTCTCCCTCGAAAGAAAGGGTTTATCTCCTTCGAAAGACAAGGTTTTTTCGATCTCCTTCGAAAGACAAGGTTTTTCGTACTCCTTCGAAAGACAAGGTTTTATTTGTGCTTAATTTGGTCTCGGGTTGTGCGGGGCTACTATTGATTGTGGCTCGGATTCGGGTTACGGAATCAACACAAGAATTTACTTTCTCACAAAATTGCGAAGCGACGATAAATCCACTCAAAAAGTTGTATGAGACAATGAATCGAGAGTATGCCGAATTGTTATATTTATGTATTTGGATTCTTAGCCCTTCCCCGATTAATTCTTGTTTGATTTTGTTAAATTCGTTTTCATTATCATTCATTGTCAATTGTAGATGCCTTATGGCTTACATTAATGAAATTTAGTGTCCTTTTAGGACTTTTTTCAAAAAAAAAAAAATCCGAATTTCTTGTATGTAATGTAATTAGTATTTATGGTTCTTTTAACAAAAAAAAAAAAAAAAAATTAAACATATACACTCTAATTTGCATTGAAAATTTGGTTTCAAATAAAAAAAAAAAAAATAGCATTGAAAAATTAAGTTTATCCAGTGAATAAGCGCTTAGTTACACTTATGCATATTATCATATAAGCACACTACCTTTGCTATCTAAAGTCAAAATAAAGATTACCTCTTCACTTATACTATTGTTCTCCTTTTGTCCCTCGACCTTATGTTATGTTGTTCAATAATAATAATAATAAATCTTACATAAAAAAAAACCTCCTTTACCCTCCTATTTCTTTTATGCACTACCATGCCTCCAATTTGCTTAAAATAGTGTGGAGTTATTGTTCCAATGGTAGTATTTATAATAGGCATAAGAACATTAAAATTAAATAAATTAATAGATCTATACTCCGTATCTTTCATTTCAACAATGCTAAAGAGTACAATCGAATGTCAATTCATCAAACATAGTAAGTTCATTTACACTCGATTTACATACTAATTTAATCATCTTTATCATAATACGAGTATATCATAGATTCTAGATAACAAAACATCTTTGATTCTTTTCCATCAAACATCCACCCAAACTATATCATAATTCGATATAAAGTAAAGAAAATATAAATTCCATTTCTAAATATTTAACCTTTCAAAAAAAAAAAAAAAAAAAAACTCACATGTGGTATTAACAAATTCAAAAACTTTAAATCATTACAATTAAAGTTAGATTTGAAGAACAAAAAATGGAGGGTGGAACGCGGGAAGTACTGTACAAGAGGCTTTAGAAAGTCATAGATAAAGATGATAAATCCTACTAATAAGCAAACTTATAATAAGTGAGTTTGTGAGTGGGTATTACCTATAACGCAATTCTTTTTGCTTCTCTTTACATATTCATTCCATCTTATTGGTGGGAAATTATATAATGTGGGTCCTACTCATTTTCTACCATTAAAATTCCTCATGTCATGTTTGGTGTTGTATCTATTAATTTCATCATAAATACTATTATGATGTCATGCCACTATAATATGTGGGTGAGGTGACCTTGGGGGTATTGAGGGAACACAATCAATTCTAAAATGGATGTGCAATGATCTTTAGGATTATTCAAAGGAATGTTGTCAAATTCATATCTATTATCTATTATTTGTTCTTAAATTAGGTTCTACGGAGTATTATTTTGAGTTTATGGGCATAGCAGATTATATTTCAGCAAAGAAGAGTTTTCAACCATAGCAGAACAACTCAAAAGAACAGGGCCTAAATTGTTTACCAAATACAATTCTTGATTTAACAAATTGCTTGTATTATAGACAATTTAATTATAATTGTTCCACTCGAGTTTCTTATGTTCCATGGTAGATTCAAGCTTCTTCAACGAACAACTCTGTGTCTATTATTAAGTATAAAAATTAGTCATTTGTCTACATAAAAATTGGTATTGTTCATATTAAAATACTGCTCTTGTAAATAAAATAAACTTGAAATTAGTAAACTCTCTTTCATTTATTACA